AGGAAGTCAAATATCCGCCCAAATACCGTCCAGATTGGTGCTAATGGTCTCCATACTGAACGCGCCCCAGACAGCGTCCACAGCTCTGAAGTCATTCGCATGCCACACGAGTCCCAGCGGAGACACGCCGCGCGGTGAACGCCCCCCCCGACACACCGCATTGCAAAGTGGGAAAAAGAGCCCGAGCGTTTAGTGTCTCAAAAACACTGGAGTAATAAAAACCATCCATCAGAAACGGCAGAGAAGAGAACAAGACAACAGCAGCAGACGCTGCGCTATCCTCTCCTGTCCTGCAGCACCAGGACTCGAACCCGCAGCGCGTCAGACAGACCGGACAAACACCCTCGGACCGAACCGCCAGAGAGGACAACAGTCAGGACGGCACTACAGGCTGCGGTCAGTGACAGACAAACACAGAGAGACGTGGCTGCTGTGGTCAGTGTGTCTGAGCATCTCTGGACACATTCAGACTGCGGCCGCAGGAACAGGAAGCTCTTCCCAGACACAGACACACATCATGTTCATAAAGAGGGAAAAACCCACGAGCCTCTAGTACTAAGTGTATGTGTGGCACAATAGCTGCCATTCACGTTCAGGCATTACCTCACACACACACAGCGGTGCATTCATGAAGTGTGTCATGAGCGGCACCGCTGCAGGTGTTCAACTATTTACTGTTACACACACACACACACACACACACAGACACAGACACACACACAGACACACACACAGACACACACACACACACACACACAAGGAATCTGCACCGTTTAAGAGCTGCAAAACCAACTGCAGGATTACTGACACACCTGACAGAGACAGACAGACGGACGGATAGAGAGAAGGATAGACAGACAGACAGATGGACAGAGAGACAGACAGACAGATGATCAGACAGACAGAAAGACGGATGGACAGACAGACAGACGGACGGATGGACGGACGGAGAGAAAGACAGACAGATGGACAGAGAGAAAGACAGACAGACAGACGGAGAGAAAGACAGACAGATGGACAGAGAGACAGACAGCCGGAGAGAAAGACAGACAGATGGACAGAGACAGACAGACAGACTGATGGAGAGAAAGACAGACAGATGGACAGAGAGACAGACAGACAGATGGACAGAGACAGACAGACAGACGGACGGAGAGAAAGACAGACAGATGGACAGAGAGACAAACAGACAGACAGACAGACAGACGGAGAGAAAGACAGACAGACGGACGGAGAGAAAGACAGACAGAGAGACAGACAGACAGAGAGAAAGACAGAAAGACAGACAGATGGACAGAGAGACAAACCGACAAACAGATGGACGGACGGAAAGAGACAGATGTACAGAGAGACAGACAGACAGATGGATGGACGGATGGAGAGAAAGACAGGCAGATGTACAGAGAGACGGACGGACGGACAGACGGAGAGAAAGACAGACAGATGTACAGAGAGTCAGACTGACGGACAGAGAGAAAGACAGACAGATGTACAGAGAGACAGACAGACAGATGGACGGACGGACAGAAAGACAGACAGATGGACAGACAGACGGACAGACAGATGGACGGACGGATGGAGAGAAAGACAGGCAGATGGACAGAGACAGACAGACAGATGGACGGACGGATGGAGAGAAAGACAGGCAGATGGACAGAGACAGACAGACAGATGGACGGACGGAGAGAAAGACAGACAGATGGACAGACAGACGGACAGAAAGACAGATGGACGGACAGACGGAGAGAAAGACACAGATGGACGGACGGATGGAGAGAAAGACAGGCAGATGGACAGAGAGACAGATGGACGGATGGACAGAAAGACAGACAGATGGACGGACAGACGGAGAGAAAGAGACAGATGTACACCGAGACAGACAGACAGACGGGAGCACCTGTGGGGATTTGTGGGTTCTCCAGCTGTACTGGTGACTCTGGTTGCTCTGCAGCAGGATGTTCTCATCTGTGTCCACCTGTCCGAACCGCAGAACTTCCTGTGTGTCGTTACAGATGACGTAATGACTGAAAACCAGTTCCTCCGCATCCAACACACCGTTCTGAAACACAACGAACAGAGAACATCAGCTCAGTCATCAGAGATCATTTATTGGATGTGGAAGAAATTTGACAAACTCAGATCCAGTTCTTGTGCTGGTCCGGACTCATGTGAGCTCATCATCTCATGACAGTCTGATGCTTTTAATGCTACTGCTTGTGTATACACACACACACACTCACACACACACACTTTACTGGAAACATCTCAACACACCAGCAGCACCTCCAAACTCTGAGTCACACCAACATTTCCCATCATTCTCTCCTCTCCCACTGAGTGTATGAGGTGTTGTTGGACCTGTAGAGTGTGTATGTGTGTGTGAGTGAGTATGAGTGTGCGTGTATATGTGTGTGTGTGAGTGTGTGTGTGTTGTCGGGGAGCACAGATGAGTGTGTGTGTTTAT